ATAATTATTTATTGTACTTATAACATCTTCTAAAGGAAGTACCTATTCGATTACCTAGCGTTTTTCTTTCGAAAATTACAACGTGAAAGATGTAATTTTTCATTCATGTAATGTATAATTTTTTTGTTTATAAAATTGCAAATACAAAACCATTATTTATGTGTGTAATGTAGACAACAAACATATGACTGAAATGGCGTCAATTTGTTTTACTCTTTATGCCGACGTTTCGGTAATCGAAGCCGCCGTTAATCTTCATTAATACGTATTAACTTCTGCGAAAATAAAAAAAAAAGCGCAATTTTTCATGCAGGTGTATAGCCAAAGTTGAAACATCCAATTTATCTTAATTTCTATAATTAAACGAGAGAGAGAGGGTCAATCGCCCATGAAAACATCAATTTATTTTCTTTTGGTCAAAGCTGCTTCTAGTGGATCGCCTTTTCTATCTGTTAAATGAAATTACACACAGAAATCTTCGAGTTTTACGGTTATTATCGAACACTAATAGTTGACCCCAGCAGGTCATTGATAGCAACAACATTACATAATATAACTTCTAATATTATTCTTTTTTTTAAGTAGGAAAACAAAATTTCATTTATTTTTTCTTATCATTCCATTGTAGTAGAGGAAATGCTATACCTAACGCCAACAAAAGTCCCAAAAAGGAAATCCGTAATGTGATAGTACTTCTACCTACATTACTGATAAATTTAAATAATCGTGACCGTTACACAAATAAATTAAAGTCTATTATAATGTAACAAAATTTGTTAAAATTTAAATTACACTTATCACACAATATTTTTGTTTTATTATTTTGTTGTTTATCGCTAGTAACAACTATTAATTAAACTTTTGATGAGTTAGTGACTATATATATATACGTACATACCTACTGCATAACTTTTTTGTCTAATTTTTCGATTTATACTCACTAATTATTGTAAATTTTATGAGTAAAGTAAAGACAGACTTACGTGCTCCACTAAACGGCGAAAAGGTCAAGGTCAAAATCAGTACGAAACAGGACAACATTTTCAGCTTCTTTAACACCACCGTGTGTACCTTCTGTACGTTGGAACGTTGGTGCCCAGAAAGGAGCGATTGTACGAAACCAGTTCACCAAACAGACTGGACAGTGAGAAAACACTGAAATGTTGTTATTGGTTTCGTTCTTGTCCGGCACTCTTGTGAAAAGATATCTGATGACCATTTAATAACAACGAACGCGCTCTTTTAATTGGTCGAGCGTATGTCAGATACAGCATATTATCCGAAGGCCTTCCACATAACGTCATTTCTAATGGAAATTCCGTGCTGGTGTGTTGTCATTAATCCATAACAAAGTTGCATCTAAGTAAGAAAATATGAAAGCAAAATAAGCGAAAAATGTTAAAAATTGAAGTTATAATAAGTACTTACGATAAGAAAAACTGGAGGCACTTGTCCAACCATAGTCTTATTAGGACTGATGACCTTATGGTGGTAATGATTAATAATTTAATACTAGATTTCACTCACGTTAATCTCTTGTGTCAATGATCATCGACGACCACATAAAACTAATGTTTCTATCCCTTGGGAACAGCAGCTTTTTTCTGGATAAATGGCACCCTATGTCATTTTTTGCACCCCTGACAATCCGTGTACAAAATTTCATGATAATCGGTTGGGTAATTAAGACGTGAAATGGTAGCAAACAAACAGATTCGCGTTTATAGTATTTGTTAGGAAGTGTAATCACCTTGTGAAAAAGTGAAAGTATTATTTATTTAGCCAGAAGTAATTTATTCTTATTGTCAAACGTGTAATTAATGGTTTCCTTGACTCCAATTTATCCACTGGATTTTTTCGATTTAGCGAAATAGTGTTCAAGAAAACCAACTAGAAAAGAACCTTGGACATCCGAACCTCCTTTTTTAATCAACTAATTCTTTTCGAGAAATCAATCCGAAAGAAAAGTTTTCCGTTTGAAAAGTTTTCACTCATACATGTGCGGATGTCGCTGGGTCTTCTTCATCTGGAAACAATTAAACTTTCTTGCTCTGTGTTTGTCACAGGAAGTTATAAGGGTGTAAAAAAGGGGATACGATACAATCCCCTTCCTCCTCCCACCAACCCGGAACTTTCCTTTGTCCTTGTGTTAAGTTGACCGTGTCTTTCTTTTAAACAAAACAATTTCATGGTAATGGACTTCTTTTAAAAGTTACCCTCTTGTTCCAGAAAACTTGTGTAGGTACGTATAATATGTAAAACTACAAGGGGATGCTAGCTATATGAGACCCTGACTTAGTGTATTAGTGAATTTTCTCGTAATATGGGCAGTTTTTTGAAAGGAAAGACTTTTACTAAGTTATGCGCGTCTTGTCGCCATCTATTGACATATGCTACCAACTATAATAATTCTAACAAAACATATCAGTGTAATAGTTTTCACATTGAATTCGAAGAAACTAAGCAAGAAAATTAATGTTACTTCCAAAATTCTGTTCTTGATGGGATAAACAAGAATGTTAAACAACAATTTAATTATTAGAAATATATTCGACATTACGTAATAACAATAAATTTAAGAATAAAAACGACTATTGGCTCGTACCAACAATTTTAATTTATTTGGTATAAGATTGTAAAAAATTTAAATAAAACATTAATATTTCTATTACCTTTATTTAATACGTCAAGGTAATCAATTTAATTAAAATTACTGAACCTAGTGGATCTCCTTCTTTTGTTTGTACTTTTACTATCGCGCTTTTTGTCCTTTCCCAAATTGTGTTTCCAATGCCTCTTGATGGTTGTCTCTATCCAACTGTAATACTGCGGGATACTTGTATAGACCCCCGGCCAGTATTCGAGACCGCAACCTAAACCAAAGCTAACAATCCCTTCTGCATACCACGGACTGGATCCCGTCTGGACCATTAAAGGGCCTCCCGAATCACCGGAACACGAGTCCTTCCCTTCCTCACCCCCGGCACAGATTTGAGCCGATATTATGTCAACGTCGGCTGCTTTGTACTTGGCCCTGCAATATTCTTGAGAAGCACGTTTCACCGACACTTTTAATTTGATCGGATTCCTGTCACCTAGACATAC